CCCCCCCCCCCCCCCCAAAACATAAATACAAAAATAAATTTGTTTAATAATGGGTATTAGTTTTATTTCTCAGCTAAAAAGATAAAGAGATATTTAGTCATATACCCATTCTTAGCACTAAAAATATAGATAAACCATACACCATTTAATTTCTATAAACAAACCTAAAAAAAACCTAGAAAATGACAACTGGCACTATTGAATTTAATTTTGATTATTAAATTATTTTGATACCCTATTGAGTATTTTGGGTTTTTTTATGAGGTTTTTGGGTTGAGTTTGTTTTAAGAAATTGATGGCAGTGTTGTAATTTATAAGAAGTTAAAAGCCTCTTTGTTATGTTGTAAATAGGCTTTTAAGTGTGTTTTTAAAGTCCATTTCATATAGGGTATTTTTATAATTTTGGCCCATATATTGAGTATAATAATGGCAATGGTTTAATCCTGCATTCTCAAAAGAAAAAAATAAGGTTTTATTTAGCATAATACTTTCTTCTTATTTTTATTTTTTTTTAGGATTTAGGATAATACTTTGGAGTATTTTTTATAGACCTAAATTATTCTACGGACCCATAATTTAATAAAACAATTCCACATCAAACCTAAAGTACTTAGTATAATTACCATGTAATTTAACCAGTGGTTGCACATGTACTTAGTATAATTACCATGTAATTTAACTAGCGGTTGCACATGACATTGTCCTCCTCATCTATCAACTTATGTGAAAGCATGTCATGTCAAATGCAGAGAATCGAAAATGGAATATTTGAAAAGGAAAAGAATTTGTGTGTTAATTGCTACACAAATTCGTATTTACAAATTAATATGAGCTCCATCACCTGTTCTATGTAAATATATGCACTCTATTTTTTTCTACTGATCTTAGCTCCACGTGACATTCTCAAAAGGAAAAAAAAAAGAAAAAAAAGAGTCATCACCCAAAGCAGGAACCCGTCGTATTAGTTGAAAGTCCTCAACTTGATGAGGAATAAAATAACCAGCTTCCAAATCCTACTCAGTTGGTTCACTGATAAAGCCATGTAACTTCACCAAAGGCAGCAAAGGTGAAATGGGGCAACGGAAAAATCTCCATTAGAGCTGCACGCTGGCATTTTTCCAAAGAAAAGCTAGCATCTTCCAGATACAGCACGAGAGAAACTTGGCTCCATTTCTTCCAAAAACACATGGGTCCTAGGTTTGGGTCTTCCCTTCCATGAGTCTTTAAAATGCTTACGGCTGGAAGCTTTAACTTGAACAAGGGCTGCAATTAGAGACAGGGATGATCCTCGAGCACATGGTATGAAGAATGGTGCAAAGCCACCTCTCAACTGGAAGTGTGTGGAGAGATCAACATCGCCCATTTTTTGGCTTAGTATGGTCCCTCGGACTATGCAATTTATCCTGCAATAGTGTACACACACAACATGCCAAGATATCAATTTACTAATATAATCGAAACGTCTCTTGATTTTCTGTGAATTTTACTTTTCTGAACTTTATTGATCTAAGAAATAAAAACCTGAGTGTTGAATATGTGAAAACTCACGATTAGGTTCATCAGAGAAAAATTCTGGGCATAGTGTGAGACAGTTTGATCATGTGGATTTCGTACAAAAGGATGCTCTAGTAGCTGAATAGCTGATGGTCTCTCGGCAGGGTTCCTACGGAAACACCAACTGAGGAAGTCCTTTCCCTCTGCAGATAATGTTTCTGGTATATCTGGGATTGTGTTCAGAACCTTGAACATAGCTTGAGGCTGACAGATAGAAGACAAAAATATGTTTAAAAAGCAATGAAGCGACTCTCAAACAGAGCGAAGTCAGATTTGCACTGAACACATGAAACTGGGGGCAGTTGGCAATATTCTGAAAAATTAGAAACTATGATGAATAAAACATAACAAGTTTCAACATTAACTTACTCCTGTAAAGTCACTCCAAGGAGGTTTTCCGTTGAACATCTCAATGATTGTGCAACCCAAGCTCCATATATCAACAGCCAAAGCAAGATCAGGATCAGCATTATTCTGCATCACAGCCTTTATGACCTGCACAAAACAAACGAGGCGTCTATATACAGTAACAGTATGCACAGGCCATCTACAAATTTATAGATAACGGTGATATGATTACCTCAGGAGCCATCCAGTATGGACTGCCCTTCAGAGAAAGATTGTACGAGTGTCCGTTAAGCTGCATCCAAAAGTAAGTTATACATAAAACCCAGAAAATAACGTAGGAAGTGTTGATAGGAGCAAAATACACAAGTAAAACATGTGATCTCAATTATTCCAACATTAAATTGTCAGGAAATTATGTCAGTGACAAAAGATTAACAATGAAGAAGCAACACTGCTACACTAGTTCAAGGGAAAATATATGCATTAAATTTCACATTTTAAGGTATTACTCACATGTTTTGCCATCCCAAAATCGGCAAGTTTAACAACGCCTGATGCATCAACAAGCAAATTTGCACCCTTTATATCCCTATCACAATCATCAAAGCTTCATTCAATAATGCAAAGACATCTTACAACCAAGCAATGCAACATGATTTTCCAGACATTTTTCCCCATTTTAACCAGACAATCCTCTTTGACGGGAAACATCAAATATTGAGTCAAGCAATTTATGAAGTAACAAGTTCTTTTTAACAGATAAGTGACGTCACAATATAATTCTGCTACTCTAGCATTATTCTCACCTGTGAATTGTCTTTGTGTTATGCAAAAAAGCCAACCCAGAGAGGATATGGCGAGTAAAATTGCGAACTACAGATTCTGTCATAGCTCCAATATGGTCTTGGACGTACTTATTAATTGATCCAGGATGAACATACTCCAGGTATATGTAGAAGTGATCATCAATCTGCACACCAAAACACAATTTTACAAAAACTTGCAAGGATTTGTCTTTAATAAATTTGAAGATATAAACAAGATACATACTGCACTAACATAAAAGATATATACTCACCACTTCACTACCATAATACTGCACAATATTTGGATGCTTTAGTGCACGGAGGACTTTAATTTCCTGCAACAGGTAGCTAGTAAGAACAGTCCTAGAACGTATTAAAGATAAATGCAAAAAATATAAAGCTATTACGGAATGCACAGTAGCATAGTTGAGCATAAATGAAATATATTTTCAGCATATGTGACATGTCCTCAACCTGTGTGCAATAATCAGTAGTGGCTACTGGCAGGCATGAACTGGAGTTCCTACACAACAAATGTTGATGAAAGTGCAAGTGTGGCATGTGTGGAGATACTATGCAGGTTTTTGACTAGCTAATATCAACCAACTCATTCCTTCCTATAATTGATAACAGCAGACACAACGCAACATGTTCCATTAAAAGTTTTATCACAACATAATTGAAAGAGAAAAAACTCCTTCAATACTTCAAGTGCCCATCTGTATAAATGACTAATATTCCCTAATTCCACAATTTGGTTAGTCTAAATAAACAAAAGGTAGAAAACAATATATAACTGAAACTGCCCAGTGAATCGACAAATTGATAAAGGACTCCAGAAACGAACCTGCTCCAATTGCTTTATACATTCAGCAGATTTAGGATCATCGGGAATGAGATCAACTTCCTTCATTGCACATAAGGCCCCGGTCTCTCTGTCATAATATTAGAAATGGTTAGAGAGCTAAATTCAAAAGAAAAAGAACAAAGAGCAAAACTAATTAATGGTCATTGCAGAACAAAGTCAAGAGAAAGTAGCACAAAGCTTCCAGCGAGCAGCATACCGGTTGGTTGCAAGATAAACACTACCAAAGGTACCTCGTCCAATAAGTTTTCCCTTCTGCCATTGACCATTCATTGATGATGTGGACAGAAGTTCTGCATTGTGATGCATGCTAGATGGCTGTGGAAGTACCACGGCTCCAGGAGGCAAAGGCAAAGGGTGAGCATTGACTTGACTACTACTTTCACCCCTCTCTGAAAAACCCTCTGTGAATGATTTATGATGCAACGCAAATACATTTCCATTTGAATTTTTGTGGTTGAAGCGTGGACTTCGAGATGTGGGGCTGGGAAGAGCAGAATGACTGGGACTATGAGCAATATTGTTTGGTTCCCCCGCCTTTGATCTTCGAGGGCTAACTGCAGGACTTGAAAACCCACTTGTTGGAGCACTCTTGCTGAAGTTGTAACTTTCATCTTCTTGTCTCTTTCCCCTATGATAATTGCTTGAACAATTAATGGGTGAAGTGGTGGCAACATGTACAGGAAAACCATCCATCTCCACAAAGTTTGATCTTTGTGGGCTAAGAGGATGACTTGAGAAAACATTTGCCTGAGCTTTCCTAGAAAAAACATTCAGTCCCAAGTTGTAATTAAAACCCCCACCATTATTATTTACATCTTGGGAAGATAATGCCCTTCGACGATTGCTTGAATTAGTCAGTGGTGCAGAGGAGGATGGCCCTTGACGATTGCTTGAATTAGAATTCTGTGGTGCTGAGGAGAATGCCCCTTGATTATTGATTGAATTAGAAATCTGTGGTGCTGAGGTTGTGGCAACTTGATTTCTTTTTTTCCTGATAGTTCAAACAGCGAAAACCGCCCCCAGTTGAGCATTATAACAAACACAGATAAACACGTAAACAGATACAGAGACACAGAGGCGAAAGAAGGCCTTTTACTTACCTACATAACGCATGGCCAAAGTACCCATCTTTGGGCACAGAGCCGGGTCTCCCGATCACGGGAGATTCTGGTAGAGGCAAGGGTTGTGGAGCAGCAGCAGCCGAAGAGGACCAGTGGTTTGACTTGGACTCACGATCCGGAGACGTTGACTTTCGGGTGGAATATTCAGGCGAAGTGGGCGAGGAGCGAGACTTTTCAGGGAGGGGGAAACACAGGTCCTGGTCATTGATGTGGCGGAGCTTCTTCTGCCGCGTGAGCCGCCTGGGGCTCTGCTCACAGCAGCCCCCAGTGTCCTGTTTCCGAGCTGAAACAGAGGAAGCAGAAGGAGAAGAAACAGAGGAGGTAGAGGTAGAGGCAGAGGGTCTGCGAAGAGAAAAGGAAGAAGAAGGCATTTGGGTAATGGAGAAAGCAAGTGGTTCTGGTTTTGGAAAAGTTAAAAGGCTTAAAGCCGTGGTCTTTTATTGTTTGTTGGTGTCAAAATCGCAGAGAGCAGAGCTCCGACGCTATGTTGTGAAGTTGTGAAGTTGTGGAATGGGAAGTAGCTCCGTTGTTTCTCGCTTAGCGTTGATCTGAATTTCCTCCTTGCTTCGTTTACTTTACTTGTTCATTAAATTCAACAATTTGAATTTATTTATGGTCAAGACCCTGCTTGGGAATTGAGAATTGAAACCTCAGAGTACTTGAAAGCCTGAAACTTACTTGGGTCATCTCTCTCTCTCTCTCTCCCTCTCTCCCTCTCTCCTAAACTCTTTGAGACTAAAGGATAGACTTTGATGTTGTTTGGTGATGGAGAAGAGAGGAGACGTCGGAGTCAGCCAGTCAGGAGGATGAGGAACAAATCCCTCACAAATGCTGTATGTGTTTACAATGTCAAATTGTCAATGCACGGGATGACCTTCTGCTGCTTATTTTTTTTATTTTTAATTATTAAGGTAAGTATGGGATTAGCTATTAATTATCCTCATTAGTTGATGTTGGTGTTGGTGTTGTTTTTTAAATTAAATTAAATGCTTTTTAAGGAAGGAGGGCGAAAGTTAGGAGTTGACGAAATCTAGGATACGCCGTAAGCGTATGCGTACTGCAAAGCTAGGCGTTCTTGGGCTCGTTGGGGAGAGGACTTCGTCAACCAAACCAAACCAATCCTCGACTTTCTTTTTCTTTCTTCTTTTGTTGTGAAAATTGACAAAACAAAACCAAAAACTCTGAAACCTGTAAAATTGCAGTCCGGTTGATACCGTGTTACGGTGTTTTACTGTATGCCCCTTTGACCTCTTTAACTTATTGTTGAACGATGAAGACTAGGAACACATGGATGATGGAGATTTGGATTTGGAAAAAATTAACAAAAAAAACTCATCGTCAACACGACAACTGGACCAGCCAACGAGGCACGAATCAAATTCCATGTCAAAACTTGTTGTTTTTTAATGTAAGATTACTTTGTGTCTGTGAAAAATCTTAAGCATTCTTGGTCGGTCGTTCTACTGTCGGGTGGCATGCATTTAGGTTTAGCAAGTCAAGCCAAGCCAACTCACTAGTTTTTGGCTTATTCAAATCATATTTTGTAAGGGAGAATACTTCCCTCCTTACTTTACAAGGAGGAACTCCTCATTACCTAGTGATGTGGCTCAACTACAAACGGACATGTATTTTTTTTCTTTTAAAAAATATTTTTGTTTCTTCTCCTTTATTATTCATAACTGAATTCTTTTTTCTTTTTCTTTTTTTGGTTTGAACCACAAGGTGGTCCTGGATGGGCCCCAATTATGAGGGGCACCTTTAAACCTTAACCACAACCCAGACTAATCCCCGCTCACACCGGGTCGGCCCGTAAGGGGTAAAGTGTTGGCCAAAGTGGTGACTTCATAAACCACCTCTTCAGTTTCATAACTAGACAAGGAGACATTATATATGTATTTTAATTTCGTATTCTATAGTCTCTATAACTCAAAGTTGGCTTGATTAAAAATTCTCTATATCCTTTTATAAAAAATAAAAACCCTCTATGATAAAAGAAATTAGTTATGCTAATGAAAGAGAAGGAAAAAACACTTTTGATACTTTAAAAAAAAAAAGACCATATCAAATTTGTGGTTGAGCCACATTATTAGGTAAGGCGGAAAGTATTGTCCTTTTGTAAGTGCCTTGCTTGCTCTGTTGATCTCTAAGAGCAGTTCCACCGAGGCCCCCTTGCCTCGGGCTGGGGGAGTTTTTTGCAAAAATTGGTTTCCAGCGGTGAGCCCAAGCACATGCTGGAGTGGGTCCCATGCAACTCGGGCTGGCCCGAAGGCCAGTTCAGCCTGAGGTCCAAAACGCAGGTTGGTGCTGACGTCAGGCTGGCGTCAGCCCACTCATTTGATTTTTTTTTTCTGTTGCCATGTGGCGTCGTCTGGGCTCTCTGATCTGATTTTTTCCTCCAATCCAACGGCAGCCAATTTTTTTGCAATAACATACTGGAATTTTTTTTTAAAATACCCAAAAATTAATGAATTTTTTTCTATAAATACTAGCCAATTTTTTTTAAAACAAAATTTATCTGAAATTTGAAATTGAAAATTTTATCCGATTATGAGATATGAATAGTATTGACACGTAGGAACCCGAAAATATTATCCAAATTAATTATTGAGATAAAAAAAAGTTGTGAAAAAAATATTTAAAAATGAATAGTAATTGCCCTTAGCCATGGCAACGGGTGGAAATACAAAATATACTATTTGCAAGGGCAACCACTATTCACGTGAATAGTGGCTGCCCTAGCCCCCCCTTGCCATGGCAAGGGTCAAATGGGTGGAGTTGCTCTAAGATTAAGATTAAACAAAAGGCTTACGAGATATTCCCCACTCAAACTAAGGATCATTCTTATTTAATAACAGTTCACATTAAGTTGGATTTGAACAAACCCTCAAGACCTCCTCCTTCATAAAAATAAACTCCGAAGACCTGAAAAGTTGACTTTTAAGTCTTCTTCTCATTCATCTTCACTTCTTATAAAAAACAAAGAAAATTGCTATTTTTCTTTTCTTATATCACATGTTATTATTTATTATACACGCTCATTCTTTAGAAGGATCCCTTCAATTCAAATGAATAGTTGGAAAAAATTATCATTGTTGGGGACACTCCGCAATATACTTCAATGGGATTAGAATTGTTATTATTTTATTTACGAGATTATAATTAAGTTTAATGAGTATTTATCTATATTATCGGAGAGAGCCAATAAAGAATTTTATGTCAAGGTGACTTTTAATCAGTCACTGAATCACATATACGGCACATATTAAACAATATTTAATCAACTAATTTATCCAAAATAAATAAATTCAAAGGTCTAATGTCACGACAACTGTTTCATGATAAACAAACAAATAAATCCGTTGTCAACGGGGTCTAGCTAAGTGGAAAAGGACCTTGACTTGAAGACTAGATGTCTCGTGTTTGAATCTCATTCCCTATTGTTTAAATTATCGCTTGTACTAAAGAAAAAACCCCTCAAAAAATTTCCTTAAAAAAAATTCCCTATAAAAGAAAAAGGCCTGGCCAAGCTATACATTTCTTCCTGATCAAACATGGATTCATCCTTAGCCAATAACATAGAGTAAGGGCCAAATAAACATAACGAAGGCCCAAACCAAGAAAAGCCCTGAATACTTTGCTTGGAACAAAAGTAACCTCACCAAACTCAAATCTAACCTCGTTCAACAACCCAAGTCCCTCCTCACTGTTACATTATTATTCTCATGAGGCTTGCCCTTTTTTCTTCGTCCTTAGCCGCTAACAGGTTTTCATATTCCTCCCTCGTCGACCATTTTCTAGCTTAGTTTGGTCTCTAGGACTATGCAAGTTATCCTACAATAGTGCACACACATAACATGCCAAGATATCAATCTACTAGCCATATAATCGAAAATTTCATGCTTTAATTTTCTTTGAATTTTACTTTTCATAACTTTATAGCTTTAGGGGGAAAAAAAACCTTTAGGGGGAAAAAAAACCAACTCAGTGTTGAATGTGAAAACTCACCAGGTTCATCAGAGAAAAATTGTGGGCATAGTGTGAGATAGTTTGATCATGTGAGTTTAGTACAAAAGGATGCTCAAGTAGCTGAATAGCTGATGGTCTCTCTGCAGGGTTCCTACGAAAACACCGACTGAGGAAGTCCTTTCCTTCTGCAGATAATGTTTCTGGTATATCTGGGATTTTGTCCAGAACCTTGAACATAGCTTGAGGCTGACAGATAGAAAGACAAGGAGGTGTTAAGAAAGCAACAAAGCTATGCTCAAACAGAGCAAAGGTTGCCTTTTGGGCAGTAGACAGTATTCAAAATCAGAAACTATGATGAATAATAAAGCATGAAAAAGTTTTTTTCATTAACTTACTCCTGTAAAGTCACTCCAAGGAGGTTTTCCATTCAACATCTCAATGATGGTACAACCCAAACTCCATATATCAACAGCCAAACCAAGATCTGGATTGTTCTGTATTACGACCTGAAGAAAACAAGCGCGCGAAGGTATATAAATATTATACGTACAGTACGCACAGACCATCTACAAACTCTTAGATAGTGATGATGTGATTACCTCAGGAGCCATCCAGTATGGACTGCCCTTCAGAGAAAGATTGTTTGACTGTCCGTTAAGCTGCATCCAAAAGATGAGTTAATATAAAACCAAGAACAATACTGCAGCCAGTGTTGATAGGACAGGAACAAAATACACAAGTACGTAACATCACTATATCTGAAGGAATCACATATACAACAACTAAAACTTGTGATCTCGATTATTCAAACATGAATTTTTCAGGAAATTAGGTCGGTAACAATAAATTTACAGAACTCACTCGTTTTGCCATCCCAAAACCAGCAATTTTAACAACTCCTGATGCATCAACGCACAAATTTGCACCCTTTATGTCCCTAGCACAATCAACAAAAACTCCATCCAATAAAGCAAAGGAAAGCTTATGACCAATAAAGGCAACATAATTCTCAAACTTTTTCCCTATTTTAACCTGTTGGGATGATGTTAAGAATCTCTACAGTTTATCTTAACATTCTCAAACTTCTTGTCTCATCATTTATTGAGACAATTTATACAGTAACAACCTCTTTTTAACAAATAAGTGACGCCGCAACATAACTCTGCTACTCAAGCATTATTCTCACCTGTGAACTATCTTCTTGCTATGCAAAAAGGCCAGCCCATAGAGGATATGGCGAGTAAAATTTCGAACTACAGATTCTGTCATAGCTCCAATAATATGGTCTTGGACGTACTTATTGATTGATCCAAAATGAACATACTGCTGCAAGTACATGTAGAAGTGATCATCAATCTGCATACGCAAAAGCGATATTCCCCAAGTTTAGTAAATATGGCAAAGATTAGTTTCTAATAAATTCACATGTTGAAAAGATACTCACTACTTCACTACCATAATACTGCACAATATTCGGATGATTCAGTGTACGGAGGACTTCAATTTCCTGTCCCATGTAGCTAGTGAGAAGTTATAAAACATTCTAAAGACAAATGGGAAAAATTCCTACACAACAATGCTGATAAGATCATAGCGCAAGTGTGTGGCATGTGTGGAGATGAACTACTATGCAGGTTTTTGACTTGCTCTTTTAATAAACCTAAAGGTAGACAACAATATATAACTGCAACTGCTCTGTGAATTAACAAATTCGTAAAGGACTCCCGAAACACCTGCTCCAGTTGCTTTTTACGTTCAGCAGATTTAGGATCATTGAGATCGAGTTCAACTTCCTTCATTGCACACGAGGACCCGGTCTCTCTGTCATATGATTAGAAATAGTCACAGAGCTAAATTCAAAAGAAAAAATAACAAAGAACAAAACAAAGTAATGGTCATTGCAGAACAAATTCAAGAGAAAGTAGCACAAAGATTCTGAAGACCAGCATACCGGTTTGTTGCCAGATAAACTCTACCAAAGGTACCTCGTCCAATAAGTTTTCCCTTCTGCCATTGAGCTTTCATTGATGATGTGGATACAAGTTCTGCATTGTGATGCGTGATAGATGACTGTGGTGGTACCACGGCTCCAGGAGGCAAAGGCAAAGGGTGAGCATTGACTTGACTACTACTTTCAGCCCTTTTTGTGAATGAATTACGATGCAACGCAAATGCATTTCCATTTGAAGTTTCGTGGTTGAAGTGTAGACTTCGAGATGTGGGGCTGTGTGGAGGAGAAATATGACTGGGACTATCATGAGGATTGTTTGGTTGTAATCTTGAAGGATAGGAATCCTGATATTGTTCTTGAGAAACCCCAAAAGTAGGAAAAGGATCCACGGCATTTGATCTTCGAGGGCTAAATGAAGGACTTGTTGGAGCACTCCTACTGAAGTTGTAACCTTCATATCCACAATCAAGATCTCCTGGCATTCTCCTCTGACAAATGCTTGAACGATTAATGGATGAAATGGTAGCAAAATGTATAGGAAAACCACACACAATGTCTGGTCTTAGTGGTGCATTAGGATGACTTGCGATTCGATTTGATTGAGTTTTCCTAGAAAAAGCATTCAGGCCCATGTTGTAATTAAAACCCCCACCATTATATAGTGCCCCTTGACAAACGCTTGAATTAGAATTCAGGGTTTCTGAGGTTGTGGCAGTCTGGTTTCTGTTCAAACAGCAAAGACTACCTCAGAGTTCAACATTATAACGAAGACATAATGAACACGTAACACATACACATGGAAGTACATGAAAATTAGAAACTGATGAACGCAGGGTCCAAGTACCTATCTGTATGCACAGAGTTGGATCTGCCGATCACAGGAGATTCAGTAAGAGGCAAGGGGGACGACTGTTCAGGCGAAGTGAGAGAGGAACTAGAGAAATTGAGGTCCAGGTTGCTGAGGTAGCGGAGCTTCCTCTGCCTCGTGAGCCTCAGTGGAGCCTGCTCACAGCTGCCCCCACTGTCCTGTTTCAAAACTGAAACAGAGGAAGAAGAAGCAGCAGTAGAAGAAGAGGCAGTGGTAGAGGGTTTGTGAAGAGAAAATGAAGAAGAAGACGACATCTGGGTGAGCGAGAAAGCACGGGGTGGTGATGGTGTGCAGCAGTCGTTTGAAAGTGTTTGAGCCCCTTTATGGCTTTTGTTAATGGCCTATTGTTGGCCCATGTGTTACTTGTGGAAGGGGTTAACTTACAGCTCCTCTGTGGTTGAATTAAATTCAAACATTTTGAATTTTTATGGTCAATGATTTAATTGTTAAGATTTAGACAACAACCAACTCTAATCCCTTGAGACTTGACATATTTAATTCAGAATTAAAACTACTTGACTGAAAGCCTGAAATCGAATCCTTCTAATCTCTCTTGTCTTAAGAGAGAGAGTGAGAGAGACTTTGAGGTTGCCGTCGTTGTTGGTGTTGCAGAGGTCGGAGAGTCAGCCAGTCAGAATTTGGAACACGACGCAGGAACAAACCCGCAATGCATGTTTATCCACGAGATGACCTTCTAGTTCTTCTTCTTTTTATTATTATTAACTCTTAGCCACCATACCATTTGTGGTGGCTGTTTTTAAAATTAAAGTAAATGCTTTTAAGCAAGGACGACGAAAGTCAAAAGGAAAATCTGACCAACACGTGTGTTTATCCCTCTTTTATCAATTATATTCTACATTCATATTATAACCTTTAAATTAGTAATGTCACACAATAACGTGACCATCACACTAACTTAAGAATTTCTCTTTCTTCAAGTGCAGCACACCCCCATCGCTCCTCTTTGAGAAAATTCTAAAGAAAAATTTTTAGCCGCCGCCCCAAACACACGATCGCTGCTCTTTGAGAAAATCCTAAAGAAAATTTTATAGTTGGTGCCCCCTTTAGATCAACTCCACCCATTTGCCCCTTGTCATGGCAAGGGGGGCGTTAGGGCAGCCACTATTCACATGAATAGTTGTTGCCCTTACAAATAGTATATTTTGTGTTTCCACCCGTTGCCATGGCTAAGACCAATTAATATTCTTTTTTTTTTGTTTTTTTCACAAATTTTTTTACCTCAATAATTAATTTGGATAATATTTTCGGATAAGATTTCCGGGTTCCTACGTGTCATAATCGGATAAAATTTCCGGATAAGATTTTTGGGTTCAATTTTCAGATGAATTTCAAAATTCAAATTTCAAATAAATTTTTCGGTTCAAATTTCGGATGAATTTCAAAATTCAAAATTCGGATAAATTTGGGTTCAAATTTCAGATAGAAGAAGCCATAAATATAAGAAAAAAAAAATACAAGGTGAAAGAGAGGAAAATGTTGAATAAAGAGTGAATAATAGTAAAAGTAGAATAAAATGTATAAGGATTGGTGTTGAAAGTGAAGGGTATTGATAGGTATTTATAGAAAAAAAAAAAATCAGAATTTTTTAGTATTTTTTTTCATAATTTTATTGCCAAAAAAATGCCAGCCATTGGATTGGAGGAGAGAAGCAGATCGGAGCGCCCAGGTTACGATACCTGTCTTCTAGCCGTTGGTGCTCGCGCAGGGCTGACGTCAGCACGACGTCAGCGCAAGCTAATTCAAATTTTTTTACTGTTGGCGCGTGCCGCTTGCTGACGTCGTGCTGACATCAGCGCTTACATCACCCAAAACTCAAGTTGGACCTCAGGCTGAACTGGCCTTCGGGCCAGCCCGACTTGCTGGGACCCGCACCTTGCCCCGGCTTGGGCTGACCGCTGGAAGCTTCATTTTTTGTTTTTCTCCCCCCAGCCCAAGGCTAGGGGCTCCACTGGAATGGCTCTTAGGGATTGACGTTCACCCTTCCCACTTCACTCCATTTTTCTCCTCACATCCCCTTTCCTCTCATTCCCTTCCTTTTCCCTATTGGATTCAAGTATTTGGCTCCAATTGTCATTTTTCAATATAGATTTGGAGCTACAAAGCATGGATGATGTTGGGTTCGGGTTTAGCCGGTATAACGCTATGACTCTCCTCGAGTTGCCCGAGAAGCTGTGGAGTGGTGATCTTGTTTATTAGTTTGTTTTAGTCTAATAATTCTCATGAACTCTTTAGGAGTTTGATGTGGTTTGTTCTTTATTTAGGATATTTTATTTCCTTTTGACTTTCGATATGAATTTGTCGTTTATGGCGTTGTGCAACAAATCTTTATTACATGCTTGAGTACATGTGATTATGGTTGCTGATTTAGGGATTTTAATCATGTCTTGGGTTGTGTGTATTTTCTCCATATCAATTCAATTTGTTGTTGTATTTGGTCACTAAAGAAGTTGTATCCATATTCAGCACCTTAGTTGCTTTGTACTTGTTTTTGTTTATCTTATCAATAAAAGACTATCCCTCTTTTATATATATATATATAAAGAACTTCTCTTTGTTCCAAAAAATAGAGAATCAAACCAAACCAATTCAATACCTATATTTAATTGGATTTTTAATTAGATTGGATGCTAATTTAAGAAATCCAAGTTAATTGGATTAGGTTTCGGTTTTACCATATTTATTTTAAATATATTTTTGTCATTCATCATGTTTCTATTTTTATATAAAAAAAAATTTAAGCTAAGTTACAATAATGCTGTGTAGATACTTGATCATAGCTATCCAACTCTAATTTTTTCCCTCGTTTCTTTCTCTAACGCCCACTATCCTGTTACTATTTTGCTTCGAATTGCTGTTCTTTATTATATATATGTGCAAGAATTTTATGTTGATTTCAAAGGAGAGGTATGAATCGGAAAATATTGTTTAGTTTCTTATATATGGTACATTTTTATCAAATTCAATTCAACAGTCCCGATCTCTTGGACCACAGGGGTCCAAGAGATTTGTGGTCACTCACCGTTAGATGTAAATTCAACGGTTCACTCACTCTTGCACTCCTTTTAAGAAACTTTGGTTTATTTAATAAGATGGGATTGGAAATCAAATCCAATTGCACTTGGATTGAAATGGATTCTTAGGTTGAACTCAAGCTGAGCAAGCACAACAGTACGTCCCATTTTCAATGCTTTATGTTTATGATGGACCAAACATGGATCATCATTGGTACGTATAAACACGATTGAGGCCCAAAAGCCCAAATCCAGTACAGCCCTGAATCTCACTGTTTGCTTGGTGCAAAATTAACCCCGCCGAAATCACAAAACCAGACTGTCAGAACTCTCAGGAAAAAACCCGCCAAAATCCCGACTTCAAAGTCCAAATTCAACCCATGATCGCGATCTCCAAACGCATATGAAGGCGCTTCGTCTTCTAACCCAGTTTAGCAGGCCAAGCCCCTCGCCATTGTTCTCGCAAAGGCTCGCCCTTTTCTCTTCGTCTTCAGCCGCTAACCCTAGGGTTTCAAATTCCTTTTCCGACGGCGACCGAGAAGGCAGCGGCGTTTATCGGCGGGCACTCAAGTTCCAGCGTCCAACGACAATCACATGGCGTCGTCGGGAAGAGAATCTGCACAACTTTGGTAGGTTTATCGGCACTGTATGGCATCCTTGGCAAGAGAATCTGGGCAACTCTGGTAGGTTTATCGGCACTGTATGGCATCCTGGGCAAGAGAATCTGGACAACTCTGCTAGCTTTATCGGCACTGTGATTCACCCCCTTCGGGTCGTAAACAGCAACGACCGTGGTCAGTTTGGCGTTCACACTGTTCTTTGCGTCAAAAACTCCCCTCAATCTGACAGCACTTTTAGGTCAGTTTATGAATTATTTTTTAATTTATGATTGGATTATTATGAAAAGGCTCTCTTTTGTTGTGTGGAAGTATAATTTACAAGCCATGGTTTTTTTTTTGTGGGATGAAATTGGGTTTTATGAGATTATTGTTAAATGATTGAATTGGTTTAGTATAAGGCAAGCAGACAATGAAAATGGGTGACCCATTTACCATTTGTGTGGTTGTTCATCGGTATTGTTTATATCACTTTCCTTCATGATAGAAGGTTTTGGTTTGTGTACAGGATACTACTGAAGATGTGGGACGAGATGGCAGAATTGTGTTTCAAACATTTGAAACCGAATGATTTTATTTACGTCGCAGGTCGTTTAGGGTCTTACACAAAGGCGGATCAGAATGGGAATTCCAGACTGTATCACGAGGTTAGCTAGGGTCTAACACAAAGGTGGATCAGAATGGGAATTCCAGACTGTATCATGAGGTTAGCTTGTTTACTATTTTTCAGAACATTGCGTCGAGTATCTTTAGAAATTTTTGGTTCATGTTTCATACACTTAATATACCTTAGAGTTTATTGAATTTTTGTCGTAGTTAGTAGTGCGGAAATTGAATTATGTAGCAGAACATGGACAAGGGCCAAGCTCCAAAACTTCTGAGGAACCACAATCTGATGGAGGTACTGCCATACTTATATTACAATGTCTTTCACTTGAGCTGTTGCTATCTTGCAACGCGGTTGGCTTTGTTTAGGTGCGCTTTTATATGCTTTCATTATTATTATTTTTTGTTCTGAATGAGAAGATGTGTTATCCCCTTGACTATCTAGGTGGAGCTGTTTTAGAAAAGTATAAGGATCGCCTTCACTTATGGCAAGTGTTTTTTGCCAATCCGTATGAATGGTGGGATAACAGGGAAGACAAGTTGAATCCAAGGCAACCAGATTTTAAGCACAAGGATACTGGTGAATCTCTCTGGCTGTCGCCAGGTGATCCTCCATGGATTAAAGGACAACTCGAATTGCTTGACACGAGAATGGCAGAACAAGGGCACGGCCAAAAACGTTTCCGTGTCTCCAAATGGGAGTATGATGAGTAGGTGCAAGCTACAAAGCTCTCTGGCTGTCGCCAGGTGATCCCCCATGGATTAAAAGACAACTCGAATTGCTTGACACGAGAATGGCAGAACAAGGGCACGGCCAAAAACGTTTCCGTGTCTCCAAATGGGAGTATGATGAGTAGGTGCAAGCTACAAAAGGAATGGATTGTGGTATTGGAGCCTTGCTGCCGGAGTTTATATGTTGCTGCCATGTACTGGAAACAAGACAAAAATGGAATTGGTCATAAACCAGGAGAGAGGTTAAGCATGATATATGAGCAATTAAAGTACATCAAATATTTGATGGGGAAGAAAAAAAGAAGAAGAGTAAGAAAGTGAAGAAGAAAGATAGCGCACAAGTGGGTTTGTTGATTGACATGGATCGCAACCGTATGAGGTCCATCAGTCAAGGGTGTATACAATTGTAAACGATTGTGTTCTGTAAAGCTCTTAACAAAAACACATATGCATACAAAAATTCGGAATGTATAGAAGTCCTTGTAATTCTATTCTTTTCAAAGGCTTATGGTGTGAGAACGAGCATGTATTTAAGGATTGGGGTAGAAAATTACAGTATATGACTAGAAACAAGATAAATTTGACCATCATGTATTGGTGAATTTATCTCATATGTTTCATGATGTTGAAGATGAGAGAGCGGATCAATGATGCTTGTTTCTTGCACCCTGTAGACTGTAGTAGTGAGTCTCCTTTATTGACCAACAAAATGACCATCCTCTTGAAACTTTTTTTATTTTGGGGGGTTATAAACAGAGTCCTTTTTAGAGTCTGAATTAGATAATCACACAAAAGAAATTAGATGTCAATCTCTGAATCAGTCACTAATTAGGAAAACTTAAGGATGGAGTAGCAATCAGAGGATGGTAAGCCTCAAATTATCAGATTTTCTGTCTAGAAGCAGCAGCAAGCTCTTCCAAAGGTATTGACCAAAAGATGGAGATCCTACAAAGAAAGTCATGGAGTAAACAAGACATATAATTGGCTGTAAAAAGTAATCAACTACCTTCCATTATTGCATCTTTCAAAAAGTAATTAAAGTGGTATTCATTGACTTGGAAGTCTTCGATTAGGTTCAGTGCATGAATTATAGACATAATAAATTAATTACCAGAGTCAAATTCTTTTTTGAATAATTAATTGACTAATTAGTAGCATTTCCCATGTCATGTCATAATTTCAAACAAGATAAAGAAAAACTTGCGAATCTCGAACTGAGAAGCTGCCTCGCATTTGCCAAACTCACCCGCCACAGGCTCAGACTCGGAGCAACTAGTAATGGCAGTGACAGATTTCTTCGCCGGAGAGATCGCGACGGAGCTTCTGAAGACCCTCATAGACATCTCCAGAAAGTCATGTATCAGCAAAGGAACTGCAGAGAGCCTCATAGCCTATCTCAATGATCTCCTCCCCATAATTCAAGAGATCAAATACTCTGGCGTGGAGCTACCAGCCGCACGCCAGTTCCAGCTCGACGGCTTCTCCGAAGTTCTGAAACAGGGCCTCGAGCTGGCCAACAAGGTCCTCTCCTCCCCACGCTGGAACGTCTACAAGAACCTCCTCTTGGCCCGGAAGATGGAGAAGCTTGAGAAGACGGTGTCCAGATTCATCCAGGGCCCATTTCAGGCCCATATATTGGCTGACGTGCACAAAATGAGGTTTGAAACTGATCAGCGGTTCGACCGGATTGAAGGGAACCAGCGGCTGGAGCAGCGGCTTGGGGCTTTAAAGATTGGAACTTGTAGTGGTGGTGGTGGCGGCGGTGGATGGATGGAAGAGGCTGTGAGGAGGGTGGAGGAGGAGGGGAAGATGAAGTGGGAGATCAGCAATTCATTAGTTTTGGGATTGGGTTTGGGGATGAAGAAGGTGAAGGAGATGATTTTTAGGAGAGAGGATTTGAGGGTTGTTGGGATTTGTGGGATTGGAGGCTCTGGAAAAACCACTCTTGCTAGAGAGCTTTGTAAGGATGATCAAGTTAGATGTGAGTAATTAAAGCTTCCAACTTTTTCTTCTTTTTGCTTCTTTTTCAGTATATTCTTTAATGGGTTCTCTAAAATTTGAGTTTTCTTTAATGGGTTCATTTGAATTTCTAATCAAACATTGACTCTGTTTTTTGTTTATCACCATTTGCATGCCATGCAGCTTACTTCCAGGAAAGAATTTTGTTCCTGACGGTGTCACAGTCTCCAAATGTGGAGCAGTTGAAAGCGAAGATTGTGGGATTTATTATGGGGAACCAAGTTTTGAGTCCTACTTCTGTGCTTCCTCAATGGAATCTGCAATATGAGTGGCTTAACGTAACAAAAACTCTGGTGGTTTTGGATGATGTGTGGTCACTCGCAGAGCTTGAGCCACTGCTCTTTAAAATTCCCGGTTGCAAGATACTTGTAGTCTCACGTTTCAAATTCCCAAAAGTTATAGATGCCACTTATGACGTGGAGTTGTTAAAGGAAGATGAAGCCCTCTCTCTGTTTTGCCACTCTGCTTTTGGCCAAAAGTCCATTCCTCCTGCTGCTGATAAAAATTTGGTGAAGCAGGTACTCTCTTACAATTACTCTCCATTTTCCACTAATTAAAGTGGGTTCTCTAGGTTGCCTTTTTCTTCTTCTCTAAACTATTAGCTGATTGTTTGCTTCAACTTTAGATTGTTAACGAGTGTAAGCGACTTCCTCTGGCTCTTAAAGTGATTGGAGCTTCATTAAGGGACCAGCCTGAATGGTATTGGGCCAATGCAAGGAGCAGGTTGTCACGAGGAGAAGCTATTTGTGAGTCCCATGAGAATAATCTACTTCAACGGATGGCAATAAGTGTGAACTGCTTACCCCGAAAAGTTAAGGAATGTTTCTTGGACTTGGGTGCCTTTCCAGAAGACAAGAAGATCCCTCTTGATCTGCTTACCAACATGTGGGTTGAAACACACGGTATTGATGAAGAAGAAGCGTTGGCTATTCTTGCCGAGCTTTCAGATAAGAATCTCCTTACCCTGGTGAAAGATTCAAGGTATTGATGTTGCCAATACATTCTGTTTAATGTCTAATGAATCTGAGTTTTTAACGCTTTGTTTGTGTTATTGTTGTAGAGATGGAGATATATATAGCAGTTCCTATGATATCTCTGTTACACAGCATGATGTGCTGAGGGACCTTGCTCTTCATTTGAGCGATGATGACGGCGTAAATAATCGCAGTCGATTACTTATGGCAAGAAGAGAGGAAGAGCTTCCAAGAGAATGGGACAGGTATTCAGATCAGCCATTTAATGCCAGGATTGTATCAATTCATACAGGTATTACCATGCCCTGAATGATCCTATTTGATTAAATTTAAGGTTGTTTATTACAAGTCTTTCGACCCGAGCTAAAACAATTTATCACTCTACAATATAGGTGAAATGAAAGAGATGGACTGGTTCCAGATGGAGTTCCCTAAATGTGAAGTGCTCATTTTGAATTTTGCCTCCAACGAGTACCTTTTACCTCCCTTCATTGCCAACATGCCAAAGCTGCGGGCATTGATAATAATGAATTACGGTACATCAAATGCAACCCTCCATGGGTTTTCTGTGTTGTCAATTCTGCCCAAGTTGAGAACCCTCTGGCTTGAAAAAGTTTCGGTCCCTCAATTATCCCCCACCTCCTTGAAAAATTTGAGGAAATTTTCAATAATCCTATGCAAGATTAGTAACAGGCTTGATCAATCAGCCTTTCCTCGGCTAATGGAACTCACAATCGATCATTGTGACGATTTAATCACACTGCCTTCATGCATTTGTGAAATACATTTGCTCAAGAACCTGAGCATAACCAACTGCCACAGCTTATACCAACTGCCAACTGATCTGGATAAGCTGAAATCTCTGCAAATCCTAAGGTTATATGCATGTCCGGCACTGCAGACGCTTCCTGCTGGCATTTGTGAGCTTCTTTGTTTGAAATACCTAGACATTTCCCAATGTGTTAATTTGAGGTGCCTTCCCAAAGGCATTGGTAAGTTAGCAAATTTGGAAAAGATTGACATGAGGGAGTGTTCAAAAATCAGGCACCTACCAGAATCTGCTACAACATTACATTCTCTGCGTCGTGTAGTATGCGATGAAGAGATGTCTGGGCTGTGGAGAGATGCAGAGAAGGGATTGCCGGACCTTCTTGTACAGGTAGCAGAGAAACATTTCGATCTGGACTGGCTTGACGAGTGAACAAATTGTACCAATATTTGGCTGTATCTTTGTATTATTACTTTACGTAAATTGTAAATAACTTGTCCACCATGTAAAGTAGAAACTTGGTTTCTGTCATCTTTCAAGACTTCATAAGTTGTTCAAGTGCTGTCAATTTCTTCTTTTACCATCCTTATGATAAGGCGGCTAGGGAGCAACAGAGTGACTTAACTCACAAGCAACTTAGCATGAAGCCAAAAGTTAGGACAAGAAATTTTGAATATTTAGTTACGTTTCTTTGACATACACTTGTTTATGGTCTTGGTTGGGGTTGATATTTTCATGCATTTTTTATTTTATTTTAAATTTTTGTTTTTTTGGAGCTTACATGGCTCTTTGAATAGTCTACCCCTCATCTCACCTATCCCATAACATCATTTTAGCTCATCAAAATGATAATAAATGATAAATCCATCAGGCCATGGAGATAACTTAAATTGGGTCAATTTAGTGATAGTATAAAAATTGTAGATTTTTGGATTATTGTTGTTTTTTTAATTTCTTCTTTTTATGATTTGGGTTTTAGATTAGCAGCCAACGCAACGCGTATTGAGAAGAAAGAGAGAAAACGTGTGGGAGCCATGACAGATGGAACCTCAAGTGTGCTTGACGCTTCTTTAGTCAATTCCGAGCTTGGTTTTCAGCGAATGGTAGTCGCTAAAGCTTTGGAGCATTCACATTCTTGGTCTTCGACGACTACATTATAGATTATACAATATATTGATGATATAAAATCTGGCCAGGTAACATTTTCTTTATAGTTTTGTTGTTTTCGTTACAAACAAAAGTTAGTGGTCTACGATATTAATTTAAGATCACTGGTGATTAAGATTGGCACTGATGGATTTCATCATCATCTCACCACCGCTTTCATCAGATTATGGAGAATTGAAAATGGAGCAAAGGGGCGATGTGCTTTTTGTTTGGTTTCTGTTTTCTTGCCCTTTTGGCTTGTTCCCTTTTGGTTATTTCAATTACACAGAAAACAGAAAGAAAAAAAATCAAGGGGCGTATGGTTATATATATAATTAATAACAAGCCTCAATGTCATGCACATAAACACAACAAATATACACATGTTATGTACTACATTCACAGATATCTGCTGGGAATGTACTCGCGTATCCTAACAGGTAGACTGTAAAATTCCTCATTTCTAGAATCTCCCTTCCGGCTTTGGAAGGGTCTCCACCATGCAAGCCCTCTGTCAGCAGCTGAGTGCTTGGCGTCAAGTGTGTTATCGAGCAGCGTCCCGACAATTATTGCCACTGTCGGGCTCGATGAGAAGATCGTGTTCACTATGTCATCAAACTGCACTCATCAAAATGATGGAGTATTTCAGATAAACAAAACCATCATCATCATCACAAAGAGAGAGAGAGAGAGAGAGAGAGAGAGTTTCAGCCTATTGTCTATGTAACTTACCCATATTCCATCTGTTCTAACTGGTCCGACACCGTTTGGAGTCGTGTTACTGATAAAGTATTGAGGTATTGATATCCCAAGAAACAGGGAAAGACCCAAAACATAGATGTTTCTCAAGGAATTATTATTTGCAAATTGCATGAACGTGATCCCAACAGCAGCTGCAGATAGAGGAAACAAAGGTAAGAATTTTCATGATAAATGAACATTTAAAAAAATGGTAGCAGAATCACTCACCAACAATCCCAAATAACACGCAGTATATGGCAGCAAATATCGGCGAAGGAATAGATGCAAAGAAAGCACCAAACTTCCCTGAAAGGCACAAATTAACATTATCAAACACAATGTGGTAAACACAGGGAATGTCTTTAGTGCACTTCAAAATGGCAGGACAGAACAAACCAAATATAGAGAAGAAGAACATGAAAGCAGTTGAAATCTGCACCACTCTCCTGCTCCCTATGTGTGTCAATCCAAGGAGGCCAACATTTTCACTGCAACATCATTTAGAGCCATGAGTAAATTCCTAATCTTCAATAGAAACAGATATGTCAAAGTAAAAAGGGTTTGCTTTCTTACACGGATGCAGTTGTACCAACAGCAGCACCAAAAATTCCTTCAAGCAGCATTCCAACACCCTGCATTTGAACATATAGAAATAGAACCACATATTATCTAACTGTTCAGCAATATAGGGTTTCTTTTTTGGTCTGATAGGGTTTCTTTCCAGTTCTATTAAAGCATTTACAGATACATAGTACGGGTGAGGGGAGGGAGGAAGGAGCTGCATGAGTATTTGCAATACCTGTAGGCCAATACTTTGGCTTATTACACTTGCTGGAGGGGGCGTAGCACCTGCAAGCCGTGCTGCTGCAAAATATGTTCCAGTTGACTGCAACAGAAGATATTATTTAACCCATAAAAAATTGTGCGTAGTAGTATAGTACTATATCTAAGTGCGTAAAAAGGTGAAGCAGGTCAAAAGAGCCTTGGACAGTATAAATGCCAAAAATGTTTGAGATGTTTAAATAAATTGGGTCTATAGAATAGATACTAACTTCTGCGGATGTAACAAGTGCTGCTCCCATCATGCCAAAGACATGGCTCGCTCTGAATATGGGTTTACCCCATTGAAATGGGTATGGGATTCTAACCCTTCATTTGAAACAACAATATTAACAATGTATCAGGAAACGGAAAATTCTTTTGAAGAGAATTTATTAACTTTGTTACACAAGTAGAGAGCCCTGATATCTGTACATACCAAGGAGCAGACGATATAAGGAAAGTGCGATCTGTACGGCAACTTTGTTTAGTCTGCTCTTTAGCATTGTTATAAGCACCAGCCTCAGTGAGGATAGCAGCAAATCCCCAGATAAGCCCAACGCAGAGAAGCAAAGCAAACCTCTCAAGTATGTAATGGGCTCTGGGAAAAACACGCTTCAGATACTGCCAAAACAACATAGTCTTGTTAAGAATATAGACTAAGAACAAAAAGTGGCAGATTGGATAAAATTAATTACCTGTTGGCAAATGACCAGCAGAATCAGCATAGGCAGGCCAATCTCCACACAGTTACCAAGCTGTGTAGAACATCAGAGAGTGAGATAATGGTTTTGATATTATTCTTATGAATGTCATGAAAGCAATGAAGTGTTTTATCGAAGACATTACAAGTGGAAAGCCCCTTGCGAAAAGACCAAGACCAACCACACAAACCACTGGCACGATAACAATGGGACTAAAGAATCTGGTAGAGGAGAAAAATAAAAGCCACAATAGTTAGAAAATAAGGATAATGAAGACCTGATAGAACTTCAAGTGTAGGCTTCTAGCCATCACTCTCAAGATAATGCTTACAAACCTTGTAAAGTTCCCCCATGCCTTACTAAATCCAATGAAGATGTTGACGAAGGAAGAAACAATAAGTGACCCTTGAATCGTTCTCATTGTGACCTCAAACCTCTGCAATCATACACGCTGATCATTCAGATATTCTTTGTCTCAAAGTTTTAAAGTCAAATTGCTCCGAAACCACGGATGCCGATACAAAAGTGTGATTTATCCTCTTTGAATAACATGTTTTGAGCTTTGCATACCTCATGTTCACTTCTGAAAGTCCGATCAGAATAATCATTGATGATTGACAACAGTGGCAGGGTAAAAGAAAATGAAGCAGTCATCACTGTTGGAAGCCTTGTCCCGAGGATTGTTTGAAGCAATGTGTTTATTGCTGCCATAAACAGCATCGTCTGAATCACGCGGGCTTTATCACCCTGTTCAAAGGGAGAATAAAGTCAGAACACTAAGATCAAAGCTAAGTGTGTGTGATCACTAAATATTATAATCTTTATGATATACAGGACATAACTTACATGATCCCCACCCATACGAGGCACAAAAGTACTTGCAATTATAACTATGGATCCAAGCATAACGATATAGTGCTGAAAAGCCAGTAGGAATGTTTCCGCTGCAAAAGGCAAACATCTAGTTATGGCAGTTGATCCCAAAACATCTCATAGGAATAACAGGGGAAATTTGCTGTTCAACTTATTAAAATATTTTTAAAGTAACATCGTATTCTATTCTGCTAAGCAGGATAACTTGAAATTGGTAATGAAACATCCATTGCACTTATAGATTCGAACACAACAAAATAGATGAGAGAATCGGAACCAAATATGGTAAAAGTGATCTGCTGCAAATTAGGAAAGAATTAAACCCACAAGAAATGACATAAACAATTCTTTAAAATCCACAACACGAACACACTGATTAAGACATGCAACTACTTAACTTAAAAAGTAATACCAATACCAAAAGCATGCACTTTTAATTTTGAACCCAACCATTAAAAAAGAAGCTAACTTTCACCAATAACCAGCTTTTTCCTGCAGGATTTCAAAGAATATAGAATACAGCAATTTAAGTGGGAAGAAAATTTGTCAAAAACCCAGAAAGAAGAAACAGAGCAGAGAGAGAGAGAGAGAGAGAGAGAGAGACTAACGCCAAGAGGGGTTGGAGTGGATGCAAAACTGAAGCTGATGGAGTTGCTCAGTTGGAGCCCAAGTGGGACCCCTTGCCGCCCCAAGAGGCATCTGAGATGGCGGCGGAGCCACCAGTACTGGCGGAGGCTGCTGGTGTTGGTGGTGGCCTGTTTCCCCCATCTTTTGATTTGCTTTTGTTCACTCTTTCACTTCCTTTCTTCTTTCTTTTGAATTTCTGAAGCGTCAGCTTCTTCTTCTTCTTCTTGGTTTAACAACTAGTACTTGCTGTAAATCACCGACACGATCAAATAAAGAAACGGAAAAAACAAAAGGAAATGAGATTGGAAGAGGGTCTTTTCTTTTTTCTGCTTTAATGAAAGAGAAAGTGTTTGTATTGGTATCTTCCAAGCAAGAAAAAGAAAAAAGAAATAGAAAGCTCCTTTTGAATTAAATTCTTAAGAAAGTACAAAGAGCCCAGAACGAAGATCAGAACTCATAGGAAGAGAGAGAGAGAAAGAGAGAGAGAGCGCGCGCGATGTGAACTCATAGGAAGAGATTAGATTACGTTATGATTGTCGTGTACTGAGGAGCATAACCATTAATTGTTTTAGGGGATGGGCAGAACAGAACGCGTGCATCTTAACTCCCTTCGAGGAACTTCCACTTACTTATCACGAGAGTTACAACCTTTCACTTTCCCAGATTAACATTTCATTTTCTCGTATTAACGGTTATGCCATTCCGTTTGTTCTTTTCTTTTTCAGCTGGGGCCAGGGGATGATTCTTCCATGAACAAAAAACCAATTCCTTCATTTCGTTTTCCTCCTTTTTGGGTGTCTGCTTTTGGTTCTGTGGTGTAGCTTTCTGGACATAATTATCTTATGAAAGATTGAAGATTTCGACCACCAACCATGATAATTTTATCATATGTAAAACAAATTTTCACTTATCATTTGTACATTTACTTTTGTTAGTAATTTTTTTCAATATGGTAAGCAAAAATACTCCCATTTATTCATTACATTAACCGTTTAATGAAATTAATAACAATCAACGAAGAAGCTAGAATTGTTTTTAATATGTTATTTTCTCTACAAATTAATATTATTTATTAGGCAAACACTTTCGGTAGCAAAGGGGAGAGTCACCACTCCACCAACAGCCATTGTCTAATCATATTGTAGGTCTTGCCTTATCCGACTGTCTAATCGTGTTTAGAAAATGCAAAATTTCAACGAAATTATGATTATCATGAGTAATTTTCACTTTGCTTAAAAATCTTCCCAAGATTGTGTTCCTCTGGGGTACCATTGTAATATTGGAACAAAATGATGCCTACATGTGACATTGTGCACCATTGCATGGGGTGAGGGTCGTGACAATAGGGATTTAAAATTTCGCGCCAGCCACGTGAAACCCACGCCGTCCGTTGGAACGAGACGAGGTCAGCAGAAGCTGGGGAGCATTTTTGCTCACCACTTTAATCATAGGTGTACCCTCACCACTATCGTCAATGCTTGACATGTGTCCATAGGTGTAATAATGATTCCATAAATATAAAGCAAAAGTTAACTATGGTTATGTCTATGGACACGTATCAAGCATTGAGGATGGTGGTGAGAGTACACCTATTATTAAAGTGGTGAGCAAAAATGCACCCCAGAAGCTGAAGGTTGTTATTTTAATATTGACAACGTTTTCCTGTACTAAATAATCTAGATAAGTAATCAACCATACAGTGATGTGAATATGCATCCAAAATATAATAACCTATGTCTTTTTTCAAATCCTATGAAAGTGACTGCCCTACTGTCGTTATTTTCATTGTTTGTGTACCCTCACCACTATCGACAATGCTTGACATGTGTCCATAGGTGTAATAATGATTCCATAAATATAAAGCAAAAGTTAACTATAGTTATGTCTATGGACACGTGTCAAGCATTGAGGATGGTGGTGAGGGTACACCTATTATTAAAGTGGTGAGCAAAAATGCACCCCAGAAGCTGAAGGTTGTTATTTTAATATTGACAACGTTTTCCTGTACTAAATAATCTAGATAAGTAATCAACCATACAGTGATGTGAATATGCATCCAAAATATAATAACCTATGTCTTTTTTCAAATCCTATGAAAGTGACTGCCCTACTGTCGTTATTTTCATTGTTTCACTCTTTCTATCTCTCGTTTATTGTATTACTTCTTCTTTTTTCTCTCTTGGAAGAAAGGGACAATGCAACGGGAGTACATAAGGGTTTTGTCGAGCTAAGGGCCTCAAAGACACACCTCGTTTATCCTTAGAAACTTGATTCATAAATTGTGAAAATTTTAAGACAAGACAAACAATGCACCTTAAACTCGGATCAGAAACATGTGCCTAGAAATGAAATTGTCTCAACTAAGATACTGTTTTTGTAATTGTCAACTTAGGAGGACTGATCCGAGATTGTAAACCATCACTAGGCTTCAGCTATAGCTTTTTGTCAAACAGAGTATAGCATAAAATAAGTTTTCCAAATCAAGATTCTACAACAGATTAAAGGCATGGCAGCGGAACCAACAACAATCGCCAGCCACATGAGAAACAAGACTACTGCGAGAGTACAGGTAATTTGGTGATAACAAAATACAGCACATGAGATATTACAAGAAGAATCAATCAGCCTGCAAGGGGATTGAGAACATGACCGGTGAACAGCACCGTTCCAGTGAATTCTTCTCGGATCAGGAAGAGGAATGGAAGTGCTAAGACTTGAAACCGTCAAAAGGCACTTACAAACTGCTTTTCTTGCTGGTCATGACTCATGAAGGGCGCCTTAACTGTGCTTCCGTCGAGAAGGTGAAAGTCATGCTCTTTTGTTGTTGATGCATCAAATTTCTCGTTCCAAACTCCTTTTGAAGTATAACGCATTTGCAAAGATGAGCTTGGTTGTGCTGTCAACTGACCCGGGAGGAAGTATCTCCTTGATAAGGCCACTAGTCTCCTTTTCAGCCCATGAATTCACTCCATTTAGAAAATATTGCTTTCTATCAGCATACTTGTTATATTATTTCATTAAGAAAAACCCACTAACGAACAGTTGCTTTACTAACTAAATGAAATGGCAATTTCCAAATCAATAAACAATCTGTGATAAGATTGATTGCATAATGCCATAATGGCATTAGCAGCATATTAACATGAAAACACAAGGCTAATTACCAAAAAATTAGTTAAAGTTTGCTGCTTGTTGTTGCAATGAGAGTTTGAATGAAGCAAGGATAGAGTCCCCAAGACTTGCAGCAAGAAAAGTTAGAGACTTTCATTTCATGGGCTTACATTGGTCTGAAAATCGACTTGGGAGAGAGCGGCCTTGTAAGCAGTGTCCACCACCTGCTTGAAAGAAGGCTTGAGTAGAAGAGGCCGGTTGACCCAAATGCCATTCGCAAATGACAAGCAGGGCCCACCACTGAGGAACCCATCGGAGAAGATGACGAGATAAGCTCGGCGGCGAAGGAGTTGAGGTGATCGGCGGACTTGGACTTGAGGATGGAGAGCAGCAGGTCCTGGTTTGGACCCTTGGACCCAGCGGCGATCAGGCTGAGCACCACGTGGATGGACAGCGGGGAGTAGACCACGTTCGATTCCTTGCCCTCAGTCTGAAGTAGCTTCTTGTTAAGCCCCAAAGCGACGTCGTTCTGGTTGCGGATGCTTTCTCTTATTAGATCATCCATTGTTGCCTTATTTTTTAGATGGGAAGGGAAGACATTTCGATTGTTTCAGCTGCAGCTGCTTAAAATGTACGGATATTTATTTGTCGAGTGCACCACATTAACTGATTACTAATTCTAATTGGGTTTGTGTTGCTTGTGCGCTAAGAGCTATTCATCGGAGCTGGGTGACTAAAATAAGTCCGACGGCAACTATTCATCGGAGCCAAAAACAACTCTTTGTTATTTTTTATTTTTTTGGGTGTCTTTTTAAAGCTTCGTTTCATTTGATTAATTTAGTAGGAGGTTCTTTCGTTTAGGCATTAATTTTATGATAAATTTCTATCCCTTCTCTCTTGCTTGCTAATATAATAGCATGCTGACTGACGGTGGAGGAAGTGGAGGGGAAGTGATCAGAAAGAAGGAGATGGCCGTGATTGGAAAGCGGGAAAATGCTGGACCATAACCCGAATTACACCAAAATAATTAATAGCAACAATTCAACAAATCATAATCAAGCAGACAAGAAATTGAAAAAAAGAAGGTAAATCAAGCAGACAAGAAAGGAAAATAAAAGTATCCAAAATAGAAAATCAAGCAAAAATATGTCTTTTCGAAATCAAATGAAAGTGACACAGAAGTAAGCATTATACTTGGAAATTTGATTCAGATATTGTGAAAATTTTAAGCATGCACCTCGAACTCGGATCAGAAACATGTGTTTCTAAATGTTTTTGTCTCAACTAAGGTACTATTTTGTAAATGTCAAACTTAGGACTGATAGTTAGCACTAAACCAAAATTGTGGAAACCATCACTCAGTTTCAGCTAAAGCTTCTTGTCAAACAGAGTACATCATAAAATAAGTATTTGGAATCAAGATTCTACAACAGATTGAAGCCATGGCAGCAGAACCAACAACAATCGCCAGCCACATGGGAAACAAGGCTACTACTGAGAGAACGGGTAATTAGGTAATAACGAAATACAGCACATGAACATACATTTTTTTAATACTAAAGTCTGGTGTTGATGTACCTACACATTTCCTCTTAGTACAGGAGATGTTATAATAACAATCAGTCTGCAAGGGGATTTAGAACATGACCGATGAACATGACCGTTCCAGTCAATTCTTCTCGGATCAGGAAGAGGAATGGATGATCGGCCACAAAGTCGGTGGTTATGGGCAGACCTCTCAATTTTATGACACCAGCAGAAGCAGCTGCAGCTTCCGTTCCTTCCTCATTCACTTCAATGAAGGACTTGTGGAATATGCTGGAAACATATAGGTTCTGACCCACAGGAGAGTCCACCATCTCTGTCAAACCTCCACCACTGAAAGGCAACACCACTCCTAGACCCTTCAGAACATTGGAAGCTTCAAACCCGAAAGAGATCTTAAACTTTGGGAGTTTGAAGTCACCCACTTCAACTTGTTGCTTGGGAAGATGGCGATCCAAAAACCCGGACTCAGAACCGAGTTTCTCAACCAAAGATGGCAGCCCATCTTTTGCCTCTGGAAGAAAGACGTGCATGGAGAAACGCCGCTTGTCTTCACCTTGTTTGTAGGGAAGTCCTAAGACTGTGAAACCATCGTAGGAACTTACAAACTGCTTCTTCTTGCTGGTCATGAAGGGTGCCTTAACTGTGCTCCCGTCGAGAAGGTGAAAGTCATGCTCTTTTGTTGTTGATGCATCAAACTTCTCGTTCCAAGCTCCTTTGAAGTATAATGCATTTGCAAAGATGAGCCTGGTTGAGCTGTCAACTGACCCGGGAGGAAGTATCTCCTTGATAAGGCCATTAGTCTCCTTTTCAGCCCATGAATTCACTCCAGAGGCCACTTCAGCAGCCTTGAGCACCAAGAACAATAATTTATGAAATATTGCTATCAGCATACTTATTGTTTCAGTAATAAAAACCCACTGAAAAACAATCAGTCTACTAACTAAATGAGAAGGGCAGAAACAAAGGGCAATTCAACTCATTATGGAGTGCTTTTACCCCCTAGGAATTTTATCATTCTATCATACTTTACACACACACAAACACACATACAAAGTGCAATTAATGGATTGTTTTCTGCAAGTAACTAACTAGTAGGATTGTGTTGCTTGCCAGTCCCGCCAATCAAAACCGACCCATTCTAGAATGTCAATCATTTACCTCAACGATCAATCACATATTATAATTATAAAACGAAAAGAGGAACAGTATAGACCAGCAATTGTGCGATCCCAAGGGTCTTTTGACTAATCATATTACCAGCACGAATACTAATTAGCAAACACTCTGTGATAAGATTTAATAAGGGCAAAGGCTATGCAAAAGCAAAACCACACTAATTAAGAAATTGGTGATAACTCCACAGACAGGCTAAGTAGCCAAAAATTAGTTAAAGTTTGCTGCAATTGGAGATTAAATGAAACAAGTAGGACAGAGCATCAGCAGCAGCGAAAAAAAGTTGGAGACTTCCATTTTATTGTAAGCCAGTGATCAAAACCCACGACGGGTATAGGGGCAAGGGAGCTTACATTGGTCTGAAAATCGACTTGGGAGAGAGCTGCCTTGTAAGCAGTGTCCACCACCTGCTTGAAAGAAGGCTTGAGAGGGAGAGACCCGTCGACCCAAATGCCATTCGCAAATGACAAGCGGGGCCCACCGCTGGGGGACCCGTCGGAGAAGATGACGGAGACGAGCTCGGCGGCGAAGGTGTTGAGGTGATCGGCGGACTTGAACTTGAGGAAGGAGAGGAGCTGGTCCTGGGTGGGGCCCTTCGACCCGGCCGCGATCAGGCTAAGCACCACGTGGATGGACAGCGGCGAGTAGACCAGGTTCGATTCCTTGCCCTCAGTCTGAAGTAGCTTCTTGGTCAGTCCCAAAGCTACGTCGTTCTGGTTGCGGATGCTTTCTCTTAGATCCATTGTTGCTGTGCGTTTGATCGGATAAAATTGCGATTGTTTCCAGCCTTAAAGAGACGGAAGGGCTTCTTAGCATGTAGAAGTCTCCGTGTCGGTCGTCGGTAGTCGGTAGTCGGTAGTCGGTTACCGGTGTAAACGAATCAGATAGACAGATGCCAAGAGGGGAGAAGGACAACAAAGGAGAGCCTGCGGGTCCCGAATCGGTGTCGGTTGGATTCGGCTCTCTTTTGGGCCCGTTGCGTAAGATGTCCACGAAACTGATAATTCAGTGGGCTTATTACAATTAGACCTTGAACTGTTGACTAATTGGGCTTTTAATTTCTCCATATATGGCGCGAAGCGGAAAGATAAACTATTTATTGGACCCAAAAGAAACCATTATATATAAAATAAAATAAAATATTCAAAGAATTTTGTTTCATTTTAGTCTTTACCTTTTTAGGGGAGTTTATAAGCATATTTAAAGTTCAATGGCAGAATTGGAAGAATGTTCCAATTTCCATGTGCATATGAAAACGTACTTTCACTTTTTTTTTTTTTTTACCTTTTCAATTGAGAGGGGTAATAATATGTTAAACTCGCATACATTACACGCAAGATTGGTTCATTGATTTTGGAGGTCATGGGCAAAAATAAAAATGAGACCTTTTTTGTTTAAGACTTATCTCATTTTTAAAGAAATTTATAATAAAAAGTTTAAAACTTATGTGGTAAGTAGGTTAGTTTGAGTATTATAAAAAAAAAAAGAGTCCATTGTATGAAAGATAAAGAAAAAGACCCAAAAAAGTTCAAAATAAAGCCTAAAAAGCATTAGTTTCACCAAAAAGGCTATAATGAGGAGTTTAGAGTGATGAGCTTATTTGAGAGTTTCATGCTCAGTTTGGAGTTGCTGTGATTTTAAAAGAAGCATCTTATCTTTTAAATTCTGAATGAAAAGGTGTTTAGTAAATTAAGACAAAACTACTTTTTGTCAAAATTGTGGGTCACTGGTAGTAGTTTTTAGAAGCAGCTGAGATGCTGTTTTTAAAAGCTGCTACGGATGGAAGCATGTGGAGTTCTTTAATGAATATTTCAATATGCTTGTACTGTCCTCGTTTATTTTAGAAAATGACGTGATTTACCCTATTCATTTTTCACGATCGAATCTCCATTCCCACCTCAATCCTATGTAGCTCTCTCTTCCCACTCTCCATTAATCTCTCATTTTTCTCACAAATCTCTAATATCTCCAAATTATTTTTTCTCACAATCCCACCATCAACAAATGTGAGGAAATCAATAGACTTAAACATTTTAAATGGTTTGATGGTTAGATTGAATCCCTCAAATAAACTCATCACTCTAAACTCTTCATTGTAGAAGCTCCCTTAGTTTCACACATAAAACGCCTTTTTTGCTAGTATACTTGTTGGACTGGAGGTGGGTAGGAAGCCATGTGTCATCACTCAGCCCGCACACGTTGTAAACTGTGCCTAACTACACAAATGTTAGGACTCGAACCCATAATCTTACTTAGGAGAGCAATTGCTTCAAATTACTACACTAGTGGGTCATTTTTAAAACCCACATTCATTTTTGTGTAAGTTTACCTTACCTTGAGCCTTATCTTTTATGTGTTTAGGAAATCATGTGCTAATTTCAATTACCAATTGGGCTGGATCTTATTGACTATAATTTAGTTGCAAAGCTATAATTAGTTGACTAATTAGTAACCTCTGTCATAACGTGTCACAATATCAAACAAGATTAAAAGAATAAATAAGTAAATAAAAAGGCTTACTAAGCTCTCAAACTCAAACTTACCAAATTCACCCGCCACATGCTTAGAGCGATTAGTAATGGCACTGACAGACTTCTTCGGCAGTGAGATCGTGACGGAGCTTCTAAAGACGCTGATAGCCATCTCAGGAAAGTCATGGCTCAGCAAAGGAAACACAGACAACCTCATATCCTCCATCCAAGAGCTCCTCCTCATAATTCAATAGATCAAGTACTCTAGCGTGGAGTTACCAGCCATACCTCAGTTACAGCTTGACCGCTTCTTTGAGCTTCTGAAACAGGGCCTTGACCTGGCCTACAAGGCCCACGCCTTGTCACGCTCGCGTATCGACAAAAACATCTCATTTGCCTGAAACTAAAATTCTTTAAAAAAATAAATAAAGCTTCAAGTTGGTGTATAAATACCTAAGTAAGCTATCTTGAGCTTGAGCTGGAATCGGTGGAGTTGGTAGAGGGAGGAAGAGAAGAGAATAAGGCGGTAAAGGGAAAGAGACTTGGGGCTATACTGTTTAAAAAGTATAGCCGAATAGAGTAAATTACCAATTTCACCCTCCCTCCTCCTCTTGTTTACATACTCGCCACTCCCTCTATTTCTCTCTTTCCACCAATCAACCCCAACCCCTGCCCTTTTTAGTTCAATGCAATTAGGATTGATTCCCAATTTAGGGTTTTGATCTTCTGCATCAAAAAACCACGAAATGTAATCAGACGACAACAATGACCAGGATTTCTATAGTGGTGGCGGCGACGACACAGCCACCGCTATGGACAGTGATGAAGCTGGAGTTGCGGATTACGAGGGTTCCCTTTTGGGCTTAAGTGCATAAAATTTACCCATACACTAAGTGGGTTTAGTTATATCTCTCAAGTGGACCAAGTTGTGGGCTTATATCAAGCTTAGACCTTAAAATGTTGACTAATTGTGCTTTAAAATTCGATTTAGATTTCATTGGACCCAAAAGAAATCATCAAAAGAAAAGAAAAAAAGTGTTTCATTTGAGTCTTTACGTTTTCAGGGGAGCTTTATAAGCATATTGAAAGTTCAGGGGCACATTGAAAGAATGTCTTAAGTTGAGGGGCATCGCTAAAATTTTCCATACGGACCTTTTAAAGTGCTTTAATTAATTTCATTATAACAAAATATTGATTTAGGAGCTGATACAATATATAAATGCATTATGCATGCGCATGCAGGTGGAGTAGCTAGAGCTACGTACTATATAATGATTTATTTATAAGGAGCATCTTTACCAGCTACTACATTTTGTGTCCCTTCCCTTTTGTTTTCACATGAATGCGGGAAAGATTAGCTCGACTAATTTCAACAGTTGAAAGAAGAAGATGCCATTTAGGAGAGAGACAAATAAGGCACCAGCTTTGAGGTGCCCCTTCTACCATACTCGCTTTCTTTAATCCCAAAAGCCTTTGTTAAACGAACTACTTTGACATTTTTCAGCTCTGATATCTCACGTCTCACTAATATGGTAATGCCCTGATTGGATAATTAAGAAACAAAATGCAGCCAATCAAGTGTTTCCCAAGATGCCACTTGGTTCCTTTTTGTTGGTATTGTCAATGTAGCAGCAGCAGCATCCATGAGTTTCTATATATAAAGCTAGTGATCACTGGAGCTTAGTATCAAACTCATTCAACCTCCACAAAACTGAGAAGCAAAAGGCTTCTTTGTGCACCTTAATTAGGTTCCTTGCTACCACAATGGTAAGCCTTCTCAGTTCAGCAAAGTTGTTTTTCTTTAGGACCTAAGAAAATTCCTAAACATACTCGACGTGGGGTTTTCATTTGGCAGCTATTGTTCTATGTACTTAATTCAGTTTCTAATTTGAAATTATGAACAGGGCATCTGCGGCGGAGGATTTGAAGGGCAGCCTAAGCAGGCAGCAAGGCTAGGAGGAAATCGAGCTGCACTTTTTGTATACGGTGGGTGACTATAAATAATTGACACTAAAACCACTCATTTTCTACATTTTGCACTCACTAATTAGTTTCTCTTTTAATTATTGATGGGGAATAAATATGTATGTATGCATGCAGCCACGGAGGGTCTTGAGAACATGTCATTTGTTGCAAATGCTATGAGCCTTGTGACTTACTTCTATGGATATATGAACTTGAGCTTGACAAAGTCGGCCACCACCCTTACCAATTTCATGGGAACTGCATTCATACTAACACTTGTTGGTGGATTCATATCTGATACCTATTGGTCAAGGTTCAAAACTTGTGTCGTCTTCGGATTCATCGAATTACTGGTACGTTTTTCTACAAGAAGAACTCAGAAATTGAATTAATTTTTTTCTTACACTTGCTAATTCTGTCACTACTATTATTCTGCTCTGTTAGTTCTGATACTGTTTAGATAAAAGAAAGTGAGGTAAAGTTTGAAAATATTGTCTCTTCTGAAAGAAAACGACACTCAATTTTCAACTTTAATTATAAAGGTTTCATCTTAATATATGTGGTTTTTATTTGTCCCTTTGTACCATGTGAGTGGCAAGTTGCATGTACCTACAACTACAACAAAATAACTAAAAGATATTCATCCAAAGAAAAACTTTCTGAAGCCAAGCCATGGCCTGCAGGCTGCAACAAATATATATATATATTGGATGACGAATGGATGATGATCGAACATGCAAACAATAAACAATAAGGTCGACTTTGTTTTTTTATTTTTTATGTTTTTGGGATTAATATATTTGCAACTTTCCAGACCCATCCCTCTTACAAACCAATTATATATAAAAAATTAGTTAACTTTTCGATCATCTAATAAACAACTCCTCCAATTGAATTTTATGCTTAATTACATGATTTCCACAATTGCAGGGACTTGGGTTGTTAACTGTACAAGCACACTTCCACCAGCTAAGACCGTTCCCATGCCAAAATGTTACACCAGGACCAGGCCAAACATGCGAGGCTGCAGACACAAACCAACTTGCAATCCTCTACACTGGCCTCTACCTAATTGCATTAGGCACCAGCGGCGTCAAGTCGGCTTTACCAGCTTTGGGAGCTGACCAATTCGACGAGAAGGACCCGAACGGGGGAGCACAGTTGTCGAGCTTCTTCAACTGGTTCTTGTTCAGCCTCACCGTTGGAGCCATTTTTGGTGTCACCTTTGTTGTATGGATAAGCTCGAACCGGGGCTGGGACTTGGCCTTCGCTTTGTGCACCGTGGCAGTCTTCTTTGCTGTTGTGTTTGTGTGCATGGGAAAGTCTCTGTACAGAAACAATGTTCCCAAGGGCAGCCCCCTCCTAAGTATCCTACAGGTAGCCACAAGTTTTGTGTCAATAATTGGTCCCCTGCATCACTCTGCTCTGTTATATATGCTCATAAATTTATTGGTTCCTCAATATTGATATATTGTTTTTGAATGTTCAGGTTCTTGTGGCTGCTACCAAAAACCGAAAGCTTCGAATTCCGGAGAATGCAGATGAGTTACATGAGATCCATGACAAAGAAGGAGGGGAACAAAATGAACTTCTTCAGAGAACAGATCAATTCAGGTACATTAAAATAACTACACTTTGAAATCCGGCCCCCTCCTACAGTCCTACTTCAAATAAGCTTAATAGTAAATATAATTTCGCAGATTTTTGGACCGGGCGGCAATCTTTGGTGCCACTACTGCTGATGGTTCTTCAACATCTAAAGCTCATGGATCCTGGAACCTGTGCACAGTCACACAAGTTGAAGAAACAAAGCTCCTAATTCGCATGCTCCCAATCATATTCAGTACTGTCTTCATGAACACGTGCATGGCACAGCTTCAGACCTTCTCAATCCAACAAAGCAATACCATGGACACGCATATCCTTGGCTTCAAAATTCCCGGCCCATCAATCCCAGTAATCCCTTTACTGTTTGTCAAAACATAGAGAATATTGAGAGAAGAAAGTGGAAAGAGTAGAGAGAATGAGAGTTGTTGAATATTTTCTGATTTTCACTTATGTTCATTACTTACAATCAACACATATATATACAAGTTCCTAAGACATTAGTCAAGCCCCCCAAGTTAGGCAACCAACCAAGTTAGGCAACCAAACTAATTAGGCAACCAAACTAGTCAAGCCCCCCAAATATTGTAGGTGCCAAACATAGTAGGTGCCAAACATTAATTGACTATTACTAGCCACATTAATTGACTACTAGACAACATAATTAACATAGCGTGTTTTGGCTGGGCTTGCAGTATGCCATTTTTGGAGCAGCAGATATGTTTACTTTGGTAGGGCTCTTGGAGTTTTTCTATGCTGAGAGCGCAGCTGGTATGAAGTCACTGAGCACAGCCATCTCATGGTGTTCAATTGCATTTGGCTACTTCTTGAGCTCAATGGTGGTGGAGGTGGTCAATAAAGTCAGCGGAGGGTGGCTGGCTAGTAATAACTTGAACAGAGACAAGTTGAATTATTTCTACTGGTTGTTGGCAGGGCTGAGTGTACTGAATTTTGTAGCTTATTTGATCTGTGCATCTTGGTATAAGTACAAAAAGGTCGAAGTTTTCAAGCAATGTGACTTGAACGGAAAGGTTGAATTGGTGAAAGCCTAAGTAGGGAGGCTAGAATTAAAGGTTTTATTGTGGTATTCAAAGGATAATTAGCATATAATATTGTAATGAGATCCCATAATTATTTATAAAAGTTGGTTTCTTTGTTGTATTAAACCTAGCCACTCCCTCTCTAAAGGGTCTTTTTTTGCTAATTATCTAATTTAGTTTCTATATTTGAAAGAAGATCAAAGCTTAAGATTTCCTTTAAAAGTTGAAATACAAAATAAAAGAAAAACACACAAGGCCAAAGTTAGTCGAAACTAGTAATGAAGTCAAAAACAAAATAAGATCTGTATAACGTTTGTTTCTTTTCAATGAACAATTTATTTACAAGACCAATTAGGAGTGTTATTTACCAATTGACATGTACTGTTTCATCCATCATCCAGAGAAAGGGCAAGGACACAGACGACCCCTTGCCACCTTAATCTGTAAAACATTCTCAAACAAGAGTGCTATGTTACAATATGTTTACTCTACCACTTCACATCCAACGTTAGCGCCTCAGAAGGTACAAGGACAGATGAGGACTTGGTGAAGGAAATATTGGACATCAAACTACTCCACGCAACTGAATCTGCCACAATGAAGGGCCTAATCTTTTTAACCAAGAGAGGCTTCACCCTCCCAAATTCCACTCTTGCCAAAACTTCATACCAAACCCGTTCAACAGCCGGCCTAGTTCTCCATCCTGCCTTGCCCTGGAGTGCACCATTCCTCCGAAATTCCTTTTCGATCTCAAGCTTGAAACGGACAACAGTCGAAGCTTTGATTTTCCCTTCAACAAATCCCGACAAACCGCTTTGGCGAATTCTATCACCAAGAAAGCTTTTCCAAATTCTTTCCAGCATAGATATCCTCAAACGTAAAGAATCAATGGGGCAAGCCCGTTTCTTGTAAGCATGGCTTCTGTAGCACTTCTCTGGCAAGAACTCAATTATCTCCTTGGACATAAATTTGGTCTCAATGTGGGCATCAGGATTTCGAGTCTTGTATGCAACCAACGTTGCAGGCCCTAAAACACGAATAGGAAATAATGGTGTGCAGTATGAATGCCAAATAGGCCAAAACTCACTTTTCTCCTTGCCAATAGCACCACTTCCCTTTGATGATAAACCAAGATCAGATGCATGAAACACAGAGACTTCTGTAGCTCCACTTACTTCAACAGTGATGCCTTTACCAACAAGAACCCTTTTAAACCCACTATATGTAGTGTTCATCTACAAAATATAAACGCCAATAATGTATTAAAACACACTCACTGTTCAACCCAGTTACTATATGCAGTGTTGAGCTTTTAAGAGATCATTGCAAGTGTGATTCTTGAGCTAGCTATTTGTGCATGAAATTGACCAAAAGCTCACAAACCATTTGAACATTCAAAGACAGTTTGAAGATTGTATCGATGCAACTATTAAAACTCTGAAATTGAACATTCAATTAAGCACTGAGTTATGAAATAGAGCGTACCGGCAATGAAAGGGAGAGGTGATGGGTGCCGCCGACCCGTAACTCAAAGGGACCCTCCACTTTGAAGGTGTCAACTACAGCCATGGAGCTGAGCTCCTTAACGAGAGAGCCAAAATGGGTTCTGGGTTGCCTGAACTTTTTCCAGGAAGAGACGTCGTCGGAGAACAGGACCCCTACGGGGATCTTCCCGAATCCGACCCGGAACTCATATCGCTGGGCGCTCCCGAAGCGAACCCTGCTGGCATCCAACCTCGAAACCCTGATGTCCTGCAAATACCACTTGTGCTTGGCCGATATTTTCTTTAACACATCCTTCAAATTTGGCAAAAATGGGAAAGAAAAGTAGTAATTAAAAATCAAAGAGAGAAGAAATCATGTAAATAAGATGGAGGAGGAGGAAGAAGTACCTGCAAGATTTGGGTGGTGGAAGAATTAAAAGCAAGAATTGATTGAAGTGGGAATATAAGGAAGAGGATGAGGGAGAAGGGGAGAGCGCCGGTCCTCCTCATCTTTGTAAATTGTAATTGTATGTTTCTTGAACCACTGACTAAGCGAAAGGGATCGCATCCCACTCTCTCTTCTGAACCACCGACTTACCCACCACAACAACCGCTATGTTTGCTTCTGCGTTTTGCGTTTTGCGTTTTGGATGAATGATTGATGATAAGGCCTTGTTGATCGGACGGTTCAATTTAATTAGCTGCCGCTTTTCTTTTTTTTTTCTTTTTTTTTTGTCGGCTATAATTATTAGTTCATACAGTTGTGCTGGGTCTGTTCACTTTCAAGGTTTTTTTTTGGGGGTATTATAAACTTTGGAAATTGAATCTGTTAACGGGTGATTTAGCACGGCCCTAGAGGGTATATGGTCAATCACACACATTACACAGATTTAGAGTGGTTCACCCATGAATAGGGCTACGTCCACTATAGAGCTTGGTCTTTATTATAAATGAGTATTACATTATACATAGAGAGAGGCTTGAGAGCCTAAATACAAGAGGAAGAGGGAATCATAGGTTTCGAAATTCAATTTAGAAGATAAATTCATTTGGATTGATCGGGATTTGTTTTTCCTTTGTGACCATTTTTGATAAGACTGGTTTTAAAGTCAAACTAAAAAATCTATGAATGCAAACCTAAAAACAGTCCAAAGAGCAAGAGTTGATAATCGATCGGTGTTTTATCTTTCTTTCTCATTAAGAGAACGCAGCTGAGAAAAGCCATAATCAATGAAACCAGAATAATGTTAAAATTGACATTGTTCGCTGTAGGCTTTATCACAACAACAGTAAAAATGGAAGTAATAGTACGATCAACTCAATCAAGAGTAGGTTGTTCTGAATTACTAACCAAAAACGATTTACACATAGAAAGAATGCGTCTTGATAAAATGCAAGTTGGAACAGCAAAACTCCGACTCCAAAGACGTCATTACAAAGATGCTTGGAAGCAAGCCTACAGGCAACAGGAAAAGGGAGGCCAATTTAATTCATCTGCCGAGGCTTTCAGCATATCCTGTAAAGAACCATCTGCGTCCACCATCTCCATCTCACCCATCATAAGAATCATCTCCACCAGCTTCAAAGGCAATCAGAATCATACCTTCACTCAGCACGAGCGGTGCCATATCTTTCCCTTCAGATATTTGGTCCCTCACAGGTGCTAAAACCTCATGTATGGCAGCAGCTGAACCTCCCAACATATATGAACAAAATAATTGATGAATCATACAAGATGATAGCTTAGCTTCATCTTTTTTTCCCCACTCTCTTGTCAAACGTAAGTTTAAAAGTCATACAGATTCACAGACTGATGGATAAGATATCCATCCAAAGCATGTTCAAAGTGCCCAACAACGAACCAAGAGAGTGGTGAAAACAAATTCAATATCTTGATAAAGAGAAGAAGAAAATCTTCTGAGGTCCTCCCCCCAGCAAACAGAGGGCAATGTGTCAAGAAATTGCAACAGCATTGTCTGCTACTTGTGGTTCATACGTGGTGTCGGATACTTTGGAGGGAGGCCAATAGCGAAATACTGATCTGCCAAGAATGTTTTTGACAGGAAGTGGACCCCTGAACACAAATAGTTAACCACATCGGCATGTCAGAGATATAACAATTCAGTTTGAAGGATAATGATCTTCTTAAATATTCATATGCAATACTAACAGTTTTTTGACCAGAAAATGCAATACTAAGAGTTTAGAATTACCAGTTATGAGAGTCAAAACTATTGTTCCGATTATCTCCCATGACAAAGACATAGCCTTCTGGAATGAACTGCAAAATCAAGCAAACAGATTGCAATGTTTTTGTAAGCACAATTCTCAGTGTCACCATATGCAAATCAACCCAAGGAAAAGATAAACCTAGAAAAGGATGCTTACCACTGGATCCATTTCATAAGCAAGCGGCTCTAATATGTAATGTTCATCTTGAACAAGACCATTTACCAGCAATTTTCCATTGCGAACCTATTCCATAGACACACAAAATAAAACATGTCAAAAAACAAAATACATATGTTTTCGTTTCTATGAGTACAGCCAGAGCTATAAACAACAACTTCAAGATTAATGAGATTTATACCTCAACACAATCTCCAGCCTTAGCCACAATTCTTTTAATGAATACATCGCCTGAGCTATAACCAATTTCCTACCGAAAAACACAAGAATATAATGTCAGCACCCGCATGTCAAAAACTCTTACAAAATGTAATTGGAGGTGCCTCAAAAATCCTTATAAATTTTGATTGTACACAATACCTGTAAGATTGGAGGTGCCTTGAAAATTACTATATCTGAAACCTCAGGCTTCTTAAAGAAATATGAAACCTGATTTATCAAAGGAAGGAAATAAATCAGCTGGGCATAAGCAATTTCAAAAATAAAACTTTGACAGAAAATCTGGTTTTCACATTTATGAAATCAACCAAATAATACTTGCAAACATAACATTACATATCCCAATTCCAAATTCACAATTTTGTACTAACGAATACTAAATCAATTATCAATCAATCAAAAAACCAACATAATTCCACCAATTAAATATACTTAGATGAACATGGACTCACCTTCTCAGCTAAAACGCGATCACCGACATCCAGAGTAGGGCACATAGAAGTGGAGGGAATCGATCTGGGCTCGGCCAAGAAGGACTTAAACAGGACACTAACAGTGACAGCAGTGAACACAGCCTTAGCGTCCTCCGAGCAAGAATTCAACAAGCGCGATAAGAAACCGCTCCTCCCCAATTCTTTTTTAGTCAACCGCGGGACCTCAGCGACCTCCTCCACACACAAGGTTCCGCCTTTGTCCACTTCCTTCAATATAGACACCGGAACAGACTCGTTGCAGGGAAGCCACTTGGAGACCTGTAAAAAAGGCATGATCGAACCGGGTTTGAACGGCGAAATACCCATAGCAGCCTGACCCGAAGAGACACCCGCAACGAAAGCCGTTGACTTCAGAAGCGAGATCAAGCCCAAGACGATCGGGCTCTTGGAACTCTCGCCGAGAATCTCTTCGGCGAGGGCTGTGTACAAGGACGGTAAAGTCTTAGCGGCCAGCGAACTCGGCTTCGAACGGGAGAATTGGGTCTGGTGGTACTTGCGGACGGGGACGGAGGGGTCGAGTTCGGGCTTTTGGTTTGATCCGAATACCCGAGATCTGACCCAGCATTCGTGAAATCCTCGGCAATTTCCGACCCGGAGATTTGCCGAGGATGATAAATTTTGCGCGACATAGCCGGAGAAGCTTAGCGTGACGCGGATAGCCATGACTACTAATTTGATTAGGTTGGTGAAGATGTGGTGCAGTGTGCTCTCGGAGACTGATAAAGTTGATCTAGAGAGCCCTAGCAAACGATGGATGCCATTTCGGTTGTGCAAGACAGTGAAGCGAGGTAGGGAACGGTGAATTGAAAGGCCGGGTTACAGCTGAGGAAAGGAGTTGGAGGTGTTTGGGGATTTGAAAAATTAGGGTTTACGGAAAAGCTCGGAGATGGTGGCGGAGCTTTACCAGAGAGAGAGAGGGGCTCACGAGTCGCGACTCACGAGCAGGTGGATTTGGAGACGCCAGAAAATACCAAGATGGGCGTCAAATGGGGAAGAGTATAGGTTTAATAGAACGGCGGCTGAAATTCTATTAAAAAGTGGCCTTTGTTTCTTTCCTTATTTACGATTGTGCCTTTGTCTCCTTAATGAGATACCTTTCATTCTAAGCAGATTTTTGCCACAAAATACGCATATCTTATTATCTGATCACTTTGTGTGATTATCAGATTACTCTTACCTTTTTTCTTTTTCTTTTTCTTTTTATGTACTTATTTTCAGATTTTAAAGTTAATCTTTAAATTCATCAAACATATTGGACAATTTTACAAAAAAATTATAATTTTATTTCAACCTTTAAAATATTCTTAAAATTCAACATTCTATGAATAAATTATGAATAAAATCCTCTCTTACTGTGGAAGTTATAATTTTGTTTTATATGTTAATATTTATACTATAATGAGAACTTATACATGTCAATAAGAAAAATCCACATAACTCCCGGGGTAATTTGGTCATTCAACCATTATAAGGTAGAGAGGTTCTTCTTAGAAGTTTTATGTAAAAGAATGGCTACAGTAGCATGTCGTTTTCCATTATTTTGGATGACTTTGACCAAAAGGAATGGCTTCTAATGTGAATGACATTTGTCTCGCCTTCCTGCAACCTTCCTATAAATTATAATATTCAGATCCCAAAAGACGATAATAGCCCTAGGAATATCAACCGTTGATGTAAACCACATAATTTATTGGTCCTACAACTTTTGTATGAACACAATTTTTTCCAGAAGAATTCGCCATGATTTATCTCATCCATGCATAATATTATAAAAAATGAATATAAATTTTTGGCTGCTACTTAATATCGGCAAAAAATATTAAAAAATATCTAAAAATATAATATTTAATTGACATATATAGATTATAATGAGTCAGGAAAGGGTTGTTCATATTCCAATTAACTCATATCCTAAATTTTTAAATATCAACTTATGTACAAAAGCAGTCTATTTTTATATATTTAGACTCATTATGAGTTTCATCTTTTTTACAATCACTAAGCAATGTGTTATGTGCCACGTCAAATAGTAATAAAATATTGAGTAAGCAAGAATAAAGTATCAAAAAGTTGGGATAATAGTTAGTATCGTAGTATCATTTCTAAATGAATAATGTATGCAATCGTTACATGTAAGTTTCTTTCACGTTATTTATTTACAAATACAAATTAAGTAAGCGAGACTCCATTACAACTTTATTTTCTAAAATAATAAATAAGTAAGTCTTCAGTGATAATTAAAACACAATCCAATGGTTGGCAAAAGAAAAGAAAAATAGAATAACCAATATGAGTTATGCGAGTTTTCTTTAAAAAAAAGTTTGCGAGGTTCAGACCAAAAATAAAATAAAAATTTGCGAGGCTTCGAATTAAAGTCTTAAAAAATACAATCCATAATAACATGGGGTAAACTGGAAATTGGAATAAGAAAAGGGTTGTTTGACAATTTGATGTTGACTTATCTTAGGCTTGACTGGGTGAGTGTTTGGTATGGAGGCAGTTGATGACGGAAGCGCATATGTCAGCGACATAGCTGATTTGGATGAAGGAAGCGAATTATTATAATGTGAAAATTTGTGATTTTCAAAGCGCTTGATCACTTCTTCATCCAAATTCTGATTAATTGACGCAACTGCATCCGTCACAATGTCCATCCATTTAAATGATGAATACCTGTTTTTTTTAAAAAAAATAAAAATAAATTATACTGTAGTAAATGATACCATTTTACCCTGAATTGACCGGCCACATTAGCATAATTTATTAACTTAAAAATATTAATGTTTCACGTAACCTACATCTAAAATGGACAAACACTTATGGTCCCAAATAAGCAGCGTCAAACGGATACTTAAACTGAAAAAATAAAACGAGAAAAAGTGCAAAAGTCTAAAAGATAGGAAAAAGAGACATTATACACTTATTTGCTTATAACGAGTCAAAGACTGATAAAATTAGTGAAAGTTCAATTTTTGAGGTTGGAACTTCAATAACGTCAAACGATTGACCAATTATTTTAGTTTTGGTTGAATTATATGAAGTATGTAGAATGCACGAACAAATTATATTAATGATTTATCCATATATTATCCAATATTGGTGCCCTTGATATGTGTCAACACCTACGACGTAATATGGGGATGTGCTTTTCTGTTTTTTGACAAGGTGATTACTCTAAATTACTCTAATTAGGGGTGGGTATAATTTCGGGCCACTTTGTATTAAAAATAAAAATAAAAAATTCAAATCAACCTGACCGAACTATCCAATCCGATCATTAGAGGGTTGGGTTGGCCTAATAATCAGCAAGTCTTGGGTTCAAACAATCATAAACCGCTATATACAAGTTGAGTTACGAGTTGGAACCAAAATTTAATAGTGGGTTTAATTTTGATTTAATCTAATTGAACCGCCCAATCCAATTAGAAAATGGTTGGATTGGGTTGGTCTAATAATGACCAGGTCTTGGATTCAAGAAATTATAAAATCGCTATATATTGGGTTGTATTACGAATTGGAATCGAAAACAGACTTAACCCAACCCATGCCCACCCCTAACTCTAATTTGTGCAAACGGAGGGCATATTGCCTTGTCCTACTAGCCTAACCCACATACGAATACATGGATGTTCATACACTGGGGCAGCTAAAAATGTAGGGCGAATCAGAAAGTCTAAGGGATTAAGGGCTCCTTTAGTAGGTGAGCTTGAGTTTGATTGAAAATGAACCATTTCGATTAATTAATATAGTATAATCTCCATGACTCATAGCCAAAAGTAGATTGGGCCTACACATTAAGACCCATTAGGAAAGCTCTCTTTGACCAAAAGCAACCCAAACAAAAAGCAGTTCCCTTCCAAATTAATCTGCTTCCAGCTGAGCACACCATCTACATAAACAAGATCAAGATGTATACATAAATTAACATTGAGGGACCTTATATTATTCCAGTTAAATGTTTCAACCAAGGTCAAGACTATAAGTATTATCACAAGATAGCAAAACGATACATACTCACAAATGTTCTTGGAGCCAATGCCCAGGTTGAGTTTCTACATTTGGAAATTAATGAACTCCCATACCATAGCAGATATATAATCTTATCAAAACTTCATTGATTTGATTGTAAATGTTCAGAAGCGACACCGGAGCCACGTAGATACCATGAGAGAAAATGTTTGCACATGCTCTTGTACAGAATCTCCTCAAGAAGCTGTGAATTTCAGGGGAGTATATAAAATGCGTTGTGTGATTGCAAGTTTCAAAAGCATTCCAAATTGTCCTACAACACCTTTTAACTTGTTTGGAAAATCAACAATGGGCAGTACAGTACCATTGAACTTAATAAATATCCTTCATGAGTTTGAAGCATTAGTCCCCTTTGCCATTCCTGTTGCCTTGGGTACTCTTTCTTTGCTCTTCCTATATTTCATCAAGGGACTCATCTTTGCCCAGAAGAAAGGATATGCCAAACTCCCTCCTGTGCTAGGTACCTGCTACTAATTCTTCGCTTTCATTGACGATTATATTCTGATAATCATGGATAGAATTTGCCCTCGAAAAACCGTTTTGTAAGAGAAGGGTGCCCAATAGCTCTCATATCCTTGTTCATATTTTTAAATAAAAATGATATATTGGGATCCTAAGATATTGCCACTTTCTTTTGTTGAGTCAAGTGTTTTTGGAGATTTATGAATGATGAGTGGGTGGATATGTGCAGTGGTTCCTGGGCTGCCATTGATAGGGAATTTGCTGCAACTGAAAGAGAAGAAGCCCTACAAGACTTTTACAAAGTGGGCCGAGACGACTGGCCCAATCTATTCTATCAGAACTGGTGCTTCCACGTTGGTCGTTCTCAATTCCACCGATGTCGCCAAAGAGGTTTCATTTATCTCATCTCTCATTATATTTATATATATTTGTGTATGTTAATATTGGTTGGTTGGTTGTTGTGTTCAGGCCATGGTGACCAGACATTCGTCCATTTCATTGAGAAAGCTATCGACGGCACTAAAGATCCTAACTCTCGACAACGCCTTGGTTGCAGCATCTGACTACAACGATTTTCACAAGATGGGAAGACGTCACAAATGTTCTTGGAACCAATGCTCAGGTTTACATATTATTTCTTTGTTTCTTCTCTCACTTAACTTAATTAATTTGTACATATTATTATAACTCCATTTGATATATAATAAATATATATATATTCAGAAACGACACCGAAGCCACAGAGATACCCTGAGAGAAAATGTTGCAAGCCAATTACATGCTCATGTAAACCAGTCTCCTCAAGAAGCTGCAAATTTCAAGAAAATGTTCGAGTCTGAACTCTTTGGAGTGTCGTTGAAGCAAGTGAGTGAGTGAGTGAGTTTATTCACATTGGTTTACGCCCAAAAACTATAATTAACTTAATTTGGGCCAAATGGTTATTAGGCCTTAGGACAGAACATAGAAGACTCAGTTTATGTGGAGGAGCTTGGAACTAAATTGTCAAAAGATGATTTTCAAGATTCTAGTGGCTGATGTACTGGAGGGTGTACTTGAGGTTGTTTGGAGAGACTTGTCTCCATACTTGAGAAGATGGGTTCCCAACAACAAGGGCTTGGAAATGAAGATCCAGTGCATTTTTTTCGCAGGAAAGCAGTGATGAATTCCCTGATCAAGGAGCAGACCAACCGAATTGCTTCAGGAGAGGTGCATGCATGCATGCTTAGATTAAATCCACATTCTTTAATTTAACTTGGAGGAAGTTAACTATGATGATGTGAAACAGGAAGTAAATAGTTTCCTGGATTACTTGCTTTGTGAAGCAAAAACTCTTACAATGGAGCACATTACTATTTTTTTTTTTGGGAGGCAATTCTTGAGGCGGCGGATACTACATTGGTAACCACAGAATGGGCTATGTATGAACTTGCTAAAGATCAAAATCGACAGGTACCCATTATTAGTTTGATTTGATTTGAGATTAAGTACTACTTAACTGATATTCATGATATATATGTGACA